TTACCCTAACTGACTAGCCAATGGACTCTCATATGAACATTTGAAAATTACCCCGTCCTACCTCCTATTCTTATCACACCATCCTCTGAAGGGGTTACCCAAATTGCCAATAGGGAATTGGCAGACTGCTCTGGCTTCTTCCATGCTGAACAGGGACCCAGGGTGAGGCAGTTGGAGTACCCCTTCAGTGGGTCTATCTAAAAGACTCCCAAATTGTATAACTCTTATCTCTAGGGGGAAAAGAAAGTCCTTGAATCATGAATAGGAGATGTGAAGAAGTAAAGGCAAGAGTAATTAGCATTACAAGTTTTAGACAGGGAACTAGAAAAAAGTCAGAACAGGGTAATTTTCAAATGTTCATATGAGAGTCCATAGAGTTTCTTGACAAGGTCTTCCAAAAGCATCCCTCTATTGAGTTCCTCATTTTTCTTTTGTCTTCCAAGGCTGGACTCTAGAATGATGGATTCAGGATTTGTTTTTGGGTGTTTTAATAGCTGTTGGAGTGTTTAGAATCAGTGTCAGTTCCCTCTCAAAGGCTTCTAGATAGGGGGAGAAAACAAATTTATCCATCATTTTAGAACAATAGCTACAGGTGGGCACTACAGTATTGGAGACCAAGATCTGAAGTCTTATATCTGAGCAGCACTTTTTAGTTAAGAACAAAATCATCAATGAGAAATAATTGTCTAACTTTTTTATATAGACTTAAGCCTAATGCCTAGGAAGTATAATCCCTTGAACTCTTAAAGAAATATACTAATGACTTTACTCTTTGGTTATACTTTCCTTTTGGGTGTTTAAGACCATACAGTTGGCCCAAATAAATCAATTTATTTTTATACTTAAGGTCATTTCAGGATCTGTTCCTCAGCAGTTACATGGGCTTGGGAGGAGCTCCTGGCTCCTTTCTTTTACCAGTTCCATCTATGTGAAGATAAGTCAAAGATCCTGCTTGACCATGCCTGGCTTCAATTGGAAGCATGAAAGAGATGTTTCCTCTAAGTTGACCCTCCTCTTTGTAGACTGGACACTGGTTCAAGTCCATCCCGTGGGGTCTCCATGGCCTCCCTGAACAAGAGGACAGGTGACTCACCACAGTTACAGGATATTTTGAGAAATGTTCCACAGTCCCCTGGAACTTATTCAACCTTGGAGGGCAAGGAACAAAAACTGTCCTTTAAGTCCCTCTGACCACACAAGCTTCAAACTATGGCTGTTAAACATCCAATAAGGTTAGTTCCACCAGTCTGATACTTTTAATTATCATGTGCCATGTAGACAAGGCTCGGGTAAAAAAACCAAATATTCTCAGATAAACCTTGACTAGATATATATTTTGTTCCTTAAACTAGTTGACTAAACTATGACCATAGAAAATTTAAGATTATGTGTATGTTATTTTTTTCTCATCCTTTATATATCATTACAAACGTACACAGACCTTCATCACTTGCTTAGGCTTTCTCTTCTGTCTATTTTGGAAAATATCTCCATTCTCATATCCTTTTAACATCTTTTACAGTCTCATTTTCTTTTTTTAAAATAATTATGAGACATAATAGCATTAACAAATAAATTTTCCATCTGTCGTTAGACTTCTTTTCCTGGGGATGCTAAGCAATGCTTATTCCCTTTCGAGGTTCTAGTGTCAAGCCAATGTTTGATTAAAGTTTTACTGGGGAACCAATGAATTTATTGAGCTTACTTACTGAGATAACTGAGGAGTTCCAAAGGTGTATGTATGACCTGAGTGTGTATGCACACTGGAAAGTCTTTACCCAGCATGGGTCATGCCTTCTCTTCCTAGCCTTTCCCAGATTGTGTACTTTAGCCCCCCCTCAAATCCAGGAGGCCATGTGTGATTAGCGTCAAATTACATACAGTTGGCTGGGAAGAGTGGCTGTACTCCCGTGAGGATCTAATGACCCTGCTTCTATCTCCAAATTCTAAAATGCTCCAAACCATAGAGTTACTTTTCTGGAAATCTAGATCTTCCAAACCACTTCCTCACTGAAACACATCCTTATCTCTTCGTCACCAAGGCTTCTCAAGTTTAGGGTAGGCATCAGACTCATTTGGAGGACTTGTTAAAATACAGATTATGGGGCTTGTGATGTCTTGGATATGCCATGTACCCTAAAAAGGCTCATGCATTGAAGGTTTTGTTGCCCAGCTGGTAAATCTAATTATTGAGAGGTGATTGGAGCATGAGGATTGTGACATAATTGATGGTGGACAGCATTTAAGGAGGAGCTCCTCACCCAAAGCTGATAGACTCATAATCTAATGGCATTAAGAGGTGATAGAAAACCAGGAGATGGAGCCTAATTGGAGGAAGGGATCACTGGGGGTGTGCCCTGAAAGATAGATCTTGTTTTGGGCCTCTTAATGTTGCTTTCTCTGCTTCCATGAAGTGAGCAACTCTGCTTCACCCATGTGAAACAGCCATGGCATTTTGTCTTATCAACAGGCCAGAAAGCAATAGAGACTCTGGAACTGTGAGCTAAAATGTACCTTTCCTTCTTTAAGTTGGTTTTGTCAGGTGTCTTGTCATAGCAGTGAAAAGTCTGACTACCAAAGGGTTCTGATCCTAGAGATGCTTCCTCACTGAATCTGGAGGTGAGAACCAACAATTCACATTTCTAACAAGCTTTGCAGATGATGGTGATAGTCTAGGGGTCCAACTTTGAAAACTGCTGCCCTTCAGTAAAAAGCCCAGATTTTTTTAAGATTCTATTTATATTAATATATATTGTATATCTCTGTGTGTCTGCGCATGTGCGTATAGTGCCTATAGAGACCAGAAGAAGGCATCAGGTGCCTTGGAGCTGGAGTTTCAGGTGGTTGTGAGCTACCCCACTTGGGTACTAGGAGCAAAACTCTGTTCCCCTAAAGAGCAGCTAGCACTCTTAGCCACTGAGCCATCTCTCCAGCTCCTCAGATTTCTTAATATGACAACACAAGTCCTTCATGGTCTGGGACCTGATATTTTTCTAATTTTGTTTCCTTCCTGGTTTCCCTTCATTGCTTAACCACTTGCCATGTATCTATTCTAAGCTTAAACCTCACCTCCCTGTCAGTGTCCTGCAGGCAAAATTAATCCACTTGTCTTTCAGGTTCCTGCTGGCTTACATCTCACAAGATGCATCTGAGTCTTTGCGGTCATCAGTGTACGGGGTGCCTCACCCACTACAGTGTGTGACCTGTGAACACACGCGTGTAGTCATCTTAGCATTCCTAGTACTAGGCCATGTAAATGCTCAATAAGCATTTCTGCATGCTTTAGACTCAGTATAAATAGCAAGTAAACAACATTTTAAAGGCTTTGTCTCTAAGACAGTTAGAAACCCTGCATGCATCTTGCTGGCTCACACCCCTATATAGGATTACGTTGTCAGTGACTCAAAGAGTTCAAGACGGTGCTTGAAGCAAGGAAAGTAATACATTGTTAACACCCGGCAGCTATTTATGATCTTGACTGAAAAAGGCATATATAGACATACATATTTTGCATGAAAATAAAATTAAGAAACATACAAACTCTTTACTGGAAACTAGGACTAATCATTCAGACAATGAAACATAATTCTGTGTTTGTCTCAGAATTCTGTATAGGTCAGTGAAAACTGAAGATGGTTCCAAATTCATCCCAGGGCTATAGCATCAAAGCAAGGGTGACAGAATTTCAGTAGTCTTTTCCAAATGTCTTTTCCAAATGTTACTGAGAGACCCCAGATAATTGGATTATGGTAATAAGAGATGGAGAGACTTTTAAAAGTTTGAGATTCTACACAGAGTCCAGGAAGAAAGGAGAGGGGAAAAAAGAGTCCATAAGACCATCTGATGTGGCTGCAGATAAAAGGTGGACTTTTGGGCTGGCAAGATGGCTCAGCACATAAAGGTACCTACTGCCAAACCTGATGACCTGAGTTCAATTACCCGGGACCCAATGATCAAAGGAGAGAACTGACTCCCATAAAGTGCCTCTAACTTCCACACTTGCACCTACGGCAAGTACACACATGCTTATACACATACACATACACACACAATACATAAATGTAATAAAAACATTTTAAGAGGACTGTATGCCCCGAGTCTTGGAACTATTTGTCATATAGTTGCCTCTAGAGAGATAACTGCACAATTGAAAAGAGGCATATTTATATGCAAGCAGCACTATATATACAGTCTGCCGTTTTATTATTGGAGCCTCTATGATGTATATTTGGGGCAATTAATCATTGACTATTAGAGGATTTTTAAAAAGTATAATTTCAACCGGGCTTGGTGGCACACGCCTGTAGTCCCAGCACTTGGGAGGCAGAGGCAGGTGGATCTCTGTGAGTTCAAGGCCAGCCTAGTCTACATAGAGAGTTCCAGGACAGCTGGGAGACCCTGCTTCAAAAAAAAACACAACAACAACAATAAAAGTATAATTTCAAAGATACATCTTAGGATCCCTGGTCTATAAATGACCAGTCAATTTTCCCTCCCTCCATTCCTCTCTCCCTCCCTTCTTCTCTTGTTCTCCCTCCCCCATTCCTTCTTTTCTTTAAAATATTTTATTATTTTTTATTTTATTTTATGTGTATGCATGTATTGCCTGCATGTAGGTAAGTGCACCCGTGTCATGCAATGCCCACGGAGGACAGAAGAGGCTGTCGGATCCCCTGGGACTGGAGTTACAGACAGTTGTTAGCTGCCATGTGGGTGTTGGGATTCGAACCAGGGTCTTCTGCAAGAACAGCCAGTGTTCTTAACTGCTGAGCCATCTCTCCAGCCCCCTCCCTTCCTTCTTATAACTCCTCTGACTTCATATATTCACATACATTTTTGTATGTATATACACACCTTCCCATTCTCCAATTGCTTCTTTTGACTTTCATAAATTGTTAAATGATTCCTTCCTGTGCTCTGATAATAGCTATCAAATTTTCTTTGGCCTTTAACTATCTGTCATTAGATCCTGTTCATTAGAATGTACTCGTCTTTTCCAGATGCATCTGTAATCCCAGCATTCCCAAGGCAAGATGGGAGGAGGAGACCACAGAATTACCAGGAAGCTCGCTGGGCCAGCTAGCTTGGAGTCCTCAACGCAGAAGCAGAAACAAGAGGGAGCCTGCCTCAGCAAGTGAGACTGAGTCTTGAAAGTTGTTTCATGACTTTGTATTCTCCCTCTCTGTCTCTCTGTCTCTGTCATCTCTGTCTCTCACAAAATAAAATTTTAAAAGAATTTTAAAATATTCTTTGGAAAATCTTATTTGTTTGCTTACTCAGTGGGTATTTGTATGTCCTAGGTGCTGGTGACACAGCATTGAGTGAAATAAATGTGATTCTTGGCCTGACAGAGATCATAGCCTGATGGAAGAAATGGTTAATCCTATAATCTCACCAATAAATATGGAGCATAAGTTCCTTTAAAGAAGTCTTTCCAGTGAGATGTTAAAAATGGGGAATGCAATTTACGTAAAGAAAACATGGCAGATTGATCCCAGTTTCCTGTCCCCTTCTCCAAGCCTTTGTCATTTGGTTGTTTCGGTCCCTCCTCCTCCCCCGGCCCCGCCCTTTAGCTCTGGCTTTGACTTTACAATGGATTCAACCAACTGAAGGAGGCAAAAAAATGATGTTTGAGCCCAAGCCTCAGAGGCCAAGTGTGTTCACACTCACCTCTTGCTTACTCTGACACTACATGAGTCCCTGGCTAGTGTGTTGATCTCGGGGGGAAGATGAGAGGCACACAGAGCTGGTCTATCTCTGCTAAGAGGCTCTGGCCAACCCCAGGCCAAAGCAAGGCTTCAAGTCATCAAATGTATGAGTCAGGCTGACATCAGATGACCTGGCAAAACTGCAGAGGCATAAACTTAAAGCACAACCATCATTTGGAGACACTGGGCTCTGGTGTAACTTGTTACCCAGAAGAAGCTACAGATGCAGGGCACCAGAGACCTCTCCGAGAGAGACGTTTGGACTGAAATGTCAATATTAAGTAGGTGTTGGATGAAGAATGAAGAGCATCCTGATGGAGGGGAAGACAGGTGTGAAAGATTCAAATGACTGAAACTCTGGTTTGGAAAAAGGAATGAAGTAGAGAGGGAGCCAGGACCGGACAATGCATAGCTTCTTACATGTTCTCATTAGAAAAGCTGAGCTTCTTCTTCAAAAACTGATCTCGGAGGAGGGCAGGCGGTGATCAGAACATCATTCATCTATTAACCTAAACCAGCGCAGTCCAGTAGGGATGACACTAGCCACAGATGTTTGAAGGAAAAGATGATACAATTGAAAATTCAGTGGGACCAGCCTCACTTCAAACACTCAGTAGCCTCAAGTAACTAGTGGGTACTGTCTTAACAAAGTAAATACAAGTTTCATCATCGTAGGAAACTCTACCGAAGAGTGCGTTCATTTTTGTTGCTGTATCACATCACTACAGGGAGGCTGGTACAGGTTAGCTGTCCTCTGCTCAGGGTGTAAGTGTGGACCAGGACCTCTTCTGAGGCTTACGAACATCACTACAGGGAGACTGGTACAGGTTAGCTGTCCTCTGCTCAGGGTGTAAGTGTGGACCAGGACCTCTTCTGAGGCTTACGAACATCACTACAGGGAGGCTGGTACAGGTTAGCTGTCCTCTGCTCAGGGTGTAAGTGTGGACCAGGACCTCTTCTGAGGCTTACGAACATCACTACAGGGAGTCTGGTACAGGTTAGCTGTCCTCTGCTCAGGGTGTAAGTGTGGACCAGGACCTCCTCTGAGGCTTATGAACATCACTACAGGGAGGCTGGTACAGGTTAGCTGTCCTCTGCTCAGGGTGTAAGTGTGGACCAGGACCTCTTCTGAGGCTTACGATCCCTCTTTCAAACTCAATAGTTGTCGAATCTCCTTGACTCAGAATGACCAGGGGATGGCTTGCTGTTCCTAGAGGTCTTGTCCTCGAGTCCTTCCCACATGACCGCCTGTTCTCACAACATGGAAGTTTATTTCTTTTTCCTTAAGGCCAGCAAGGCATAAGCTCTCTCTAACCTTCCCCCTTCCATTAAAGGTCTTGTGTGATTAGGTCAGGACCACCCAGAATAAATTTCTTTGGGTCAGTTCAAAGTTGACTGATAGGTCACCTAATCCAGGGACATTCAGTGGCTCTGCTCACATTCAAGGGGAGCATTACATGAGGTGAACATACCCAGGGGTGGGGAATCATGGAGGCTCTCTTAGAATTTTGTTCACTGTAGACAGCACTAGTGTGGAAAGCAGGAAAAAGTTAAGCACATTAATAAATGCAGAAAGCAAGCAGTGGAAGAATTTGGAATAAGCATAAGCTTGAGAGCACAGAAGTTGTTGCTATTTAAGTCATCTCTGCATTACCCAGGTCTGTGAGAGCCTTCTTACAATTGAAGGCTAGCTTCAGTGTGGATCAGGTTTATCTACAGTACTTTCCCTGTTAAGGAAGCTGTGAGCACTACTCTGCACGTGACCATAAGGAGTATAAACAAGACCCTTAAAAGAAAGCACACACAGGGCTGGGAGATAGCTCAGTAAGTGTTTGCCTTGCAAGCTCAAGGACCTGATTTGATCCCTAGAACTTTTGTTTAAAAAGCCAGGCATGATGGCACACTCTTGTAATCCCAGCACTGGGGAGGTAGAGACTTGAGCTCTTGGGATCACTGGCCAAACAACCTAAACTACTTGACAAGTTCCAGGTGAGCAAATGATCCTGCCTCAAAAAGAAGGTAAACTGGCACTTGAGGAATGACATCCGAGGCACGCATGTGTAGGCATACCCACATGCACACAAACGTGTGCACACATGCATGTGCACATGCACACACAGAGCAAGCACACCTTAAAGATTAGCATTCTGGTTTTCTATTTCCTTGCTGTTACTACCCTGGAGGAGTTCTCATCTTGGTCTCCAAAACCCAGTTGCTGCTTAGATGAACTGACATGCTGGCCTTGGCCTGAACCCCCTAGCTCCAGACCCTTGGCCACGCTGGTGGCAAACAACTGCAGAGCTCCAACCCTTGGCTCTTGAGACTGGAAGGGCTAGATACTCTGGGGTACCAGCTCTAACTCACAATCCCTTTTGGCTGCTACCCTTCTCCCACTGTGACTTGGGTTCAAGGAAGGAGAAGACCTTAAGGACTGATTTTCAGGGTGATGTGAGCTGGCAGGGGAAAATAAAGCATTAACCCATTAGTTGTGATTGTCCTTAACATAAACTTCAACCACTGATTATAAAGGACTCCAAGAGACTAATTACTAATTTTAAAGAAGTGCTACTTAAAAATCATGTAAGGAAAATACTTATCAGTTTGAAAAAAAATTGCATCTATATAATTTTAAATTTCACAAAGAAACAGTGTTTGGAAATGTTGCATGTAATGATTTTACAAAATTCTATTTCATAGTTATACCTAGGTCTGAAATGGTCTTTTACAGTAGCTCACCCTTTTTAAAAACAGCTTTTTCCCTACAAGGGAAGACTAAGTGTTTGCATTCTAACTACCTCCAGCGTTTCAACAGAGTGGAGATATTTTAGTGCCTTCGGTGGGCATTTATCTTCTTGCCCTCAGCACACAGAACAAAATGTAGCCATATTAGCATTAATAATAAAACCAACTCCATTATGCAGAGTTTCTTGTCAGTTGAATTTGTTGCAGGCTCCGTTTTGGATTCAATTTCATCCATTTGGAAGTACTTTTGCTGTGAAGCAAATTTTTGTTCCATCGTTTTAATTTTGGTAGGTTTTCCCCCTCCATCTTCTTCTTTTCTCTTTCCCTTTTCTGATCACCTTTTTTTAGAGGTTGGGAAACAGTTCTTCCCTGCTGCTATAGGAGGGAATTGGTTTGGCACACAGAGATATTTTCCCTGAGATGTGAATAGAGTTAATTTTAACAGAGCTGTTTCATTTTAACAGCCTCAACTTGCACAGTGTGTATCATGCCAAACAGCTTTGTGTATGATCATCGACTGATGTCAGCATGGTTCTAGAAATAGTATTTGATAGTTAACAGCTGCCGCCGAGCCAGAAGGGGAACACGAGACATTGTGTTTCAGAAGGGTTTACAAAACTCGTGGCTATTGTATTTATTTATTTATTTAATTTCTTGAGGAAATTAAATAAGAAGAGCTTAAGACACCAAGGGTAGGCTTAAAAAAATTATATCCCTAAGTAGGTCAAGTGGCTCCAAGAACTTTGACATTCTGTGTAATATAGCTTCTGTACTTTGAAACAATCTTTGATGAATTTAGTATAATTTTTATTCAATTTACAGTCATGTATATGGTCTAAATTAGGGAACGAAAGTGTACCTCTGTATGAAGAGGTGCCCAAACCCACTGCAAAGAGCAAGGTAATAAGTGTTCCAGCTCTGTGGACTGTTTATAATCTCTGTTGTAACTTTTCAGCTCTTATTACAGGCAAAACACAACCATAGACATTATGTAAACAAATGGCCTTGGCTGTGTGCCAATAAAACTTTATTTATGAAACAGGTAGTAGATGTGATTTGGTCAGGGGCCATTGTTCCTCCACCTTTGCTGTGGACGGTTTGTGAGCAAATGTCACACACTTCCATGCAGCGTACCACAGAGGTTAGATACTGAGACTTTTACGGTCTTGTGAATCAAGTTCCACACACACTCCCCGTAGAAACCAGGAGTTCATTAATAGACATAGAGGGATATTTAATTGTATACATATATGTGATCAACAACCATGTTGATTATGGTTTGAGAGTAACTGAGCAATAGATATGCTTTATGAAGTGAGAGGGAAAACGGATCCTGGTCTTTTCCAGGATCCCTTTCCTGTTCACTAGGGACCCTGATTTTTCTTCTCTTCCTTACTTTACTTAAGTTAATATCACCCTTAAACTTTGAATTATCCTGCAAGAACACAAATTCATTAGCTGCTGCTCAACATGTGCATCATCTTAATGAGACATAGTTTGTAATGATGTGAATCACAAGAGTCTTGTGCTCCAAATGGCCTAAATGTTTCATTGAAATCATTACAAGTATTTGAGACTAGGAAGAAAAGGGGTTCATTATTTAAAGATAATTTGCATTGGGAGGGGGAAAACTCAGTTCTAGGAAGAACAGTTTTTCTAAAGAAAAATGTTTTTGTTTTTTTTTTTTTTTTTTTTTTTAAAAAAACTTTTTTTTTTAAAAAAACTTTTTTTTTTAAAAAAACTTTTTTTTTTAAAAAAAC